GTTTTTAATTGGCTTGTCAAAGATCAGGTACCGGTAAGTAGCTGGATTCATCCCTTGGTTCTCTATTCTGTTCCATACATCTACCTCTCTATTGTGGATTGCATTTTTTAATTTGACCAAATTATGAGAATAGATATGTCGAAAGCCTTCCTTGAGTTCCAACCTGTGTCCTCGCACCAATTCCCATATTACAGGTGCCAACGTGGTAGATATGAGATTTTTGCCATGTGTACCTAGAACTAGACGAGGGAACTGATTTTATAGAAGAGAGAAATCTCCAGGTGGGAAGATCTCTTGAACCCAGGAGGTCAAGACCAGCCTGAGCAACTCCTTAGGAAAAAAAAAAAAAATTAAAACTAACAGGCATGGTGGCATGCCTATCAGTCCCAGCTACTCAGGAGGCTGAGACAGGAGGATCTTGTGAGTCCAGGACTTTGAGGCTGCAGTGAATGCACCAGTGCACACCCTGCACTCTGACTGGACAACTGAGTGAGACCCTGTCTCCCCACAGTCCAAAAAGAAAAGTCTCAACTATTCTTTGCTGCTGTGTCTGAAACCTATTACGCCTTACACAGGTGACCTCCAGGGTCCCAACAGTCCCATGTGCCCAGATGGTGATGGTGAGAAGCACCTCTCACAAACTCATTCAACTAATAGTTATTGAGTGCCTACTTTTCCCTGGGGACATAGCCATACACACGACTCATATTCCAAGAGTGTCCAACCTGTGGCCTATGGACACATTCTGATTTTGTGAGGACTTTTTTTTTTTGCCTTTTTTGTGGCACAGATATCAGAAAAGGTATACTTGGACCTTTTATTTTGTTTTCGATTTTGGTTTTGGTTTTCTTTGCCAGTCCCCTTTCTTTAGTGTTTGTGTGTTTAATGTGTGGTGTAAGACAACTCCTATTCTTCCAGTACATAGCAGAGAGGTGGAAAAAAAAGGTTGGGCACCCCTGAGTACACACTCACCCCTCTCAAATAGCAAAAACGATCAACAATAAATAACAAGCAAAGACACAGTGTAATTTCAGATTGTGATGAGGCTATCAAGGAAAATAATAAGCAGGACGCATGCTAGAGAACGGCCGGGGTGGGAGAGTCCTGCTGACAAGGTGTTCAGGAAGGAGGTGACACTTCAAGGATAAAACATTCCGTATCCTTTATGGCCACGCAGAGAACTGGGGAGACTTATTCCCGGCTGAGGAACCTGCAAGTCCAAAGGCCCTGAGGCAGGAAAAACTGGACTTGTTCAAGGAACAGTGGAGTTCACAGAGGGAGTGAGACGCAGTAAACCACGGGTGGGGAAACCAGATGAGGTCAGAGAGGTAGGAGGGAGAATCAGTCCCATCAGTAGTTCTTTAGAGTTAGAGCAAGTGACAAATGGTTCAGAATTAATTGTAAGTGCAATAGGAATCTGCTGAAGAAAGAAATTTAAGTGGAATTGATATAGTCCAATTAATCTCAGAAAATAATTCTAGCAGCTGTGTGGAAAATGGACCTTTGAGCTGTGCTTTTCAAATGGACGTGAGTCGCTTGTGTCCATGGACAACACTGAATAGTGTCACCCAGGGAGTCAAAGGGAAGCAGAGCGACCCACTGGGAACCTGCTTCCTGAGTCCAGGGGAGTGCTTTGGTCTAGGATGGTGGTGCATGCCGAGCAGGGCGTGGATTCTTGGTTTATTTTAAAGGGAACATAAGGTGCGAAGGTCAGGGTAGGAAACCTGGAAAAGACGGACACCTGCCTGTGGGACTCTGCAGTTCCCGAGTCCTTGTCATGCTGTCACCCAGGCCAATCTGTCAACTAGTCCAGCACATCTCAAATTTAGTGTGCACGTCACTCCCTTGGCGAGCTTGATAAAACACAGATGCCTGGGCTTAACCCCAGAGTTTCTGGCTCAGGGGCCTGGGCTTCCACATTTCTAACAAGCTCCTGGGATTTGCTGATGCTGCTTTTCGATGGTAGACACTGGTCTGGATCCTTCAGGGGTATCCAGAAATTGGAGCGTAGCTGAAAGGCCTTCCTCTCTGCTTGCGTCCCCTGCCGAATCTTCCTGCACACCACATGAAAACTGTGCCTGCTGCTTACACTTCACCACGCTGAGATGGGGCACTGGGACCCTCCAAGTTTCCGGGCCCTTCCTTGTGTGAAAGTCTCTTGCATGGGCACAGCAGCCCTATCTCTGAGCTCTGGTGAGTGCCTGCTGCCAAACAGGAGAATCCCAGCTTTCTGCTTTCAGTGTGGATTTCAGCACATCACCTGCTCTTAGAACCCTAGCTGAACTCTGGACTTTGTGGACATGGGCTCTGGCTGACCACAGTGGATCTTCTCTTTTGCCCCCCATCAAGGGACCATTCCCAATCCTAGAAAAGCCACTCTACTGGGTGTCAGTGATGTGCCAGGTATATACGCTCTTTCTGCCTCCCAATTTCATGTCTTTCCTAGAACCTCAGCCTGTGACCTTTGGCAGGATAATCCTGCTGAGCATTTATAGACACTATTCCATGGGGATTTCCTGAAGCAGCAATAGGAAGGAGTTACAGGCATCAGCTGCCTTGAACAAGTGAGGACCAGATCAGTGAGGCCGTGTAACCTGGCCAGGGGCACACACAGCGCATGAGGCTGTCCTTACAGTGGAGTCGCAGTCTGGCACCCTCTGAGTCCCCATCCTGTGACATAGTAGGTCTGCAACCTGCCTCTGTAGACCTGTGACTGCTTCCAGGAACTGGTGCCTGTAGTCCCACAAAGCACTTAGAGTCTTTTAACTGAAAGACTCTTGAGATTCCTACACAATGAATGGTTGCATGAAGTAACAATGCCCAAAGAAATCTACTCACTAATTAGCTGGAATGTTAGGAGACTACTCTTCCAAGAGTAGATTTCTGAAATGTTTTCGCAGTATCCTTTGCAGGTTCATCGTGTAAACTTGTTGACAATGAAAAATGTTTTGCAACATGACGCTCTCTAATCAACGGTGCTAATTGTTATATATAAATATATTCTTCCAAGTTTAATAATTAGAAAAATGGAATATTAATAACATGCAGTTACTCTGAGTTTTGTTATACAGATAATAATTGTCTTCCTCAGGGTTTATTTAGATAGTTGTCAAAAATATGTTTAATTTTAGTTATTCAGTGAGCACCATTATTCTAAAATCCTTATAAACATCAACTCACACCATGTTTAACAATAGGAGGTTACTTATTTATGGTATTAAAAATGCATAGAATATGATTTTTTTTTTTTTTTTTTTTTTTTTTTGCAGTTTTTGGCCGAGGCTGGGTTTGAACCTGCCACCTCCGGCAGATGGGGCTGGTGCCCTACACATTTGAGCCACAGGCACCACCCAGAATATAATTTTCAAAAGCAAAAGTATTGTTTAGTTTTATTTCAGTGTATGTACAGTATTTTAATGAACTTCACTGTAAGAAAGATGAGAAAAGACTTTTAAGTCATTTAAAATCATTGCTCCACTTAATTTCCCATAGCTTTTGTATGCAAATTACCTTTACCAAATAGCTTTATTTTTCATGTGTTAGCTCACCAAAAGACAAAATAGGGTCCAGGATAATCCAGCAGTATTCACAGATCTAGGAACTCCTATGTAGAGTTAATTGTGCAGTTACTCAAAGCTTTCTTTGAAACATTGTGATAAGCCTTCTCCTTAAAGAATCTCTCAGAAACGTATAACAATTGCCACCGAGAAATAAAGTTGTATTCTCCAACTGAAAATTGTATAAATCACCCTGAAACTACGTGAGCATGTAAAAGCCTTCCAGTGAGCTAAGTAAGCTGGACCATGTCTTTCTTTTACTGAATAATATTGTTTTGATGACAGGTTAAAGAGAGAGGTAAGATCTCTTTTCACATCTCTTTGGTGACATATGACTGAACATGTACTTAAAAGCAGAACCCAAATCTAATACTTGACTTTTTAAAACCAACAAAATCATTGTTTCTTAGAGCTTGAGCAGCCTCACAAGCCATCTCGGTGATATTTGCCACTCCTTCCAGCAGAAAGCAGAAGGCTAAAGGCATCACCACCTACATGTGGTCACAGCCAGTGCAAGCAAAATTTGGCTTAAAACTTCTGCTAAATTTCTACTTTAGCATTATGCATGTATTTATATGCATGTATTTATTCATTCATTGATTTACCTGTAAGAAACTTGCAATAGAGTATCAATCAACATCATAGAAGGCACGGATATGAAAATGTTATGAAAAGAGAAAAAGAAAAACCACAGATATTCGCACACACATGCACAGGCTGAGGGCAGGCCGGTTATCCAGACCTGCTGCCAACACAGAGGGCACATGTGACTATCGCGCCCTTGAAATGTGCTTGTAAACAGTGAGATGTGCTGTGACTCCAAGATGCACCCTGGATTGTAAGACTGCCATTAAAAGAGAAAAGAATGTAACTTAGCTATAATAGCTCTATTGGTCTTATTGTAATTACATGTTAAAATGATAATCGGGATGCACTGGTTAAAAAAAGTATATTATGGCTCGGCGCCTATAGCTCAACCGGCTAAGGCGCCAGCCACGTACACCTAAGGTGGCGGGTTCGAATCCCCAGCCCGGACCCGCCAAACAACAATGACGGCTGCAACCAAAAAATAGCCAGGCATTGTGGCGGGCGCCTGTGGTCCCAGCTACTTGGGAGGCGGAGGCAGGAGACTCGCTTGAGCCCAGGAGTTGGAGGTTGCTGTGAGCTGTAATGCCACGGCACGCTACCCAGGGGGAGAGCTTGAGGCTCTGTCTCAAAAAAAAAAAAAAAAAAAAAGTATATTATTAACTTCCACTCATTTCTTTTTACTTTTTAAGGTGGCTCCTGAAAGTTTTAAATTACATATGTAGACCAAAAAAAAAATCACATATGTAGCTCACATTGCACTCCTACTTGGCAGCCCCAACCACTTAGTGTCATTTCTGTCCTTGAATGCTGAATTTAGCTCTTAGCTTCTGAGAAACAAAAATATAGGTTTGATTAAAGGAAACCTGCTTTACTCTTCCAAGAGAGACAAACATTTTCCTGGTACTAAAGTACCAAGGATTTTATTTTCAGTCTTGTGCCAGCAGCGTCAAGCAACAGAGGGGTAAAGTCTTCAGCCTCATTTTTATAGAAGATGCAGAAACATTGCCCACTCACTTGTTTTTTTATACTTTAACAAAATCCCAAACAAAACAAGTGTCTAAGCACCTAGAATCTAAAGATACATCAGAGGGAGCTTTTCCTCCAGCGTCAAAGCCACTGAAGTCTGGTTACATTTGTCTCCCTGCTTCCTTGATATACAGTGAAATTCTGAAACTAACTCAATGTAATGAATGGACGAATGCAGCAGAGTATTTTCTGACTCAAATAGCCATTGTCTCAACTGTGCTTTTCACATAACAATAGAATCTCCATAGCTGACCACCTCCCTACACTGACCACCTCCTTAAACTGACCTAATTTTCGTAGACCAGACATGCACCACATGTACATGTCGGTACGGTAGACCTGTTTCCTTGTGTTGACCACCTCCCTGTGTCAACCCTTCATGTTATGGTCTCCTGGGTGGTCAACTTACAGAGGTTCTACTATAACATGAGGAGCCATTTATTTAAGAAGAGTCTCTGTCCAGACATGGCTTTCAGGAGTACAGATTTTTCTCTGGTGGATTCCGTGAATTTCTGTCCTTGGGCAAGTTGTACCTTGTGTCCCCATGCTGTGTCTTTGGACACATTGTCTCTCTGGGCCCCGGGTTCCTAAAAAGTAAACCAGAGACAGTCAACCCTACTTGTTGGGTTGTTGTGTGTTTGCTACATGTGGACTGGTGAGAAAGTAACAGTAGCCTCTGCTGTGGTGGTTGTAACTGATTGAAGGAACCCCTTTCTGTTCTGGCTGCACTGACTTCTTGCTTTAGAAGATGATCTATATAAATTGCGTTCATGCCAAGAAAGAGCCACCTCCCTGCTGCAGTGATGAGCCTTGTAGGGGGTGACATATACAAGGAAGTTCTGAAAATACCTCAGTGTAATGAATGGATGGGAGTCATTTGATGTTCTCGTTTGATGTTGCAAATAAAATTGCAAGAAGAAGCTTTTTTTTAAATTTCCTATTTTAGAGACGAGGGTCTTGCTCTTCCTCAGGCTGGCCTCAAACTCCTGAGCTCCAGCGATCCTCCTGCCTCGGCCTCTCAGAGTGCTAAGACAGAAGGTGTGAGCTACTGCTCCCAGCTGGCCAAAAGAGACTCTTGAGAGAGTTCTGTATTCCTTATTTGACAAAATATGATCCTAACACCCCAGCTTCAAAACAACTCCCTTCTCCATGAGATGCTGTTTATGCCGACTAACTCAAAAAAAGGCAACCAGAATTAGTGACAGACGATTCTAAGAAACTTCGTCTACGTGGTCTGTTTGACTGCAGATGAAATCACGGATGCAGAGTCTGATGTGCGGGTTGTCTGAGGTAGTAGTTTAGCCTTCTTTCTAGAAAGGGCTCCACATAGTGAAAAGAACATACCTGCCCTTGGTACCCTGTTCCCAATGCTCTGTCTCCCTCTGTTTCCTATAGCTGATAACACAGAGTGTAACATTTGAAGGAATCCCACTGAGTGAGAGAGGAAGGCTTTAATTTATTCCAGCATCACTCCTAACCTCCTAAACATCAGTGTAATTCTCTAAGAACAATGCACAGAAAATCATTCTGCTCAAAGGAAGCACTGTAAATATTTTAGAATAGGTGGCCCATCTCTTGTTCCTTGTACTTGAAGCTTTTTAAGGATAAAGATATGAATGAAGTTGGTGCAGCCCCCAAAGAGCCTGATTTTCATTGTGTGTCTTTTCTATTCGAAGCCTTAAGGAACGGGACTCAGATGTCAGGCGGGAGGGTTGTCTGTACATGGCATCTCTGTGTCCTCTCTATTTTTAATCCGTATCACCCCAGATGCACAATATGGCTCATTGATATTTTCCTCCGACAGAGTCTACTCTATATAGAGCAGTGCTTTTCAACCTTTTTTTATCTTCCTGCACACTTGAGCCTATACTTAAACTTCCACAGCACACTTAAATTATGTTGATCCAAAAAAAAAAACTTGTAAAAAATAAAATACACTTACTGTGTTTTGAACTTCTTTCAAAAATAATTTAATTAATGATCTTTCAAAATTGGGTGCCATGGCACACCGGTTGAAAATCACTGCTGTAGAGTCTACTGAAGTTTTCACAGCAGAAGGCAAGTTGTCCTTCTCACCACCATGATCAGCACCCCCAGCTTCCTGGCTGGTCTTTCTGTCTCTGCCTCTCTCTAGAGCAGCATAAGTTTCATTCACTGTCAGTGATTGGAAACCCCCACTGCTAAGTGTGTCCTTGGGGTCTCACTCTTTCCTCCAAGTGCCTTATCAAAATATTTATTTCCAAATGCAGTCCTTTCTCCAGGCAGAACGCTAGTCGATAACCTTCCTTCCACCTGCTGTAACCTTCGTGTCGTGTGAGTCAAGCTCTGTGTCTCTGCAGATCGGAACCCAGTAGCCCTGACCATGGATCTTCAACAATTGAACAAGACCTTGCTGCCCTGGATGCTGAAATGACCCAGAAGTTGATAGACTTGAAGGACAAACAACAGCACCAGCTGCTTAATCTTCGTCAGGAACAGTACTATAGTGAAAAATACCAGAAGCGCGAACATATTAAACTGGTAAGCCCAAGCAATGTGATTCGTGTTTGTACGACTAAGACCCTCTTTCCTAGCTGGGCACAGTGGCTGACGCCTCTAATCCCAGCACTAAGGAGTCTGAGGTAGGTGGATTGCCTGAGCACACAGGTTCGAGACCAGCCTGAGGCAGAGCAAGACCCTGTCTCTAAAACATAGCTGGGTGTTGTGGTGAGCACCTGTAGTCCCAGCTACTTGGGAGGCCATGGGAAGAGAATCACTTAGCCCAGGAGTTGGAGGTAGCTGTGAGCTATGAAGCCACAGCACTCTACAGAGGGTGAAAAAATGAGACACTAAATAAATAAATAAATAAAACCCTCTTTCCTATGGAAACTTTGCTCTTAGATAACGTGTTTTTTTTTTTTATTTTTTATTTTATATTTTTTTAATAATTTTTTTTTTTTTTTTTTTTTTTTTATTGAATGGTAACTGTGTACAACTCTTAGATAACTTAAAAGAGGTGAGAGTGGGTGTGACTGGCACCAACTTGGAAGATTGCCTGCTCCTCACAGTATCCACAACACTAATACTTTATAAGCCACTGTCATAGCTTGATCAGACTCCTCTCACTTTCCCCCATGAGGCTGTGTTTTATTGTTTTTTTTTTATTAACTGGAGGTTATAGTCATTTTAGGGAATTTTTGAAATTCCACAAGAAACTAGAAGACATTTATCTTTAAGAAAAATAAGAACATGCTGCAAATAATTTTTTCTTTTGGGGGAGTATCACTGGGCTTTGCAAGAACTAAAAAAAAAAGAAATTATGTAGTCCACTCTTTTATGTTGGAAAAAGTTAATATGTAGGCTGGTCACAGTGGCTCACACCTGTAATCCTAGCACTCTGGGAGGCCAAGGCCAGCGGATCTCTTGAGCTCATGAGTTCAAGACCAGCCTGAGCAAGAGCCAGACCTCATCGCTAAAAATAGCCTGACATTGTGGTGGACACCTGTAATTCCACATACTCGGGGGGCTGAGGCAAGAGGATCACTTGAACCCAAGAGTTCGAGGTTGCTGTGAGCTCTGACACCATGACACTCTACCCAAGGGGACAAAATGAAACTCTGTCTCAAAAAAAAATTTTTTTAACATCTAAATGGCCACTATGGAATGTTATCTCCTCAATTCCTGAGGATTCCTAGGAAAATAAATGCCATTCTCCCCAGTGATGATCAGTTTTTCCTCCAAGATGATTTCTCATAAATCGTTGAAGCCCGACACATAGCAGCAACACGATACATATTTGGTAACTGACAAACGAATTTAGCAATAAGGTAGCCTTGAAAACAAGTATCTGCCAAAACAAACCAAATGAGTAAGCTTGATAGAAATTGGTGCACCCAAAGGAACCAGGTTCTAAGAAGTATTTGTACGGCCTATCCCTTCCTTTCCTGAGGGGCTGTTCTGCTTAGAGGGCTGGAAATCTGCAGCTGCTTTAGCCATTACTGTGTGGCAGGTGACTCAGCAGTGCTGTCCTTGTGGTACTGCTTTCCCCAGTGACCACATGCAGCGAGGGGTCAAAAATCACATGAGTTCCTTTATTAACATCAAATTCTCTTTGGTCAGTTATTCTCAACTTGAGAGTTACCCAGAGGACTTATGGAAATACAAACTGGTAAGCCCTTTCCTAAATTTCCAACTGGTCTCTCGTAGCTGGTGTTACTAATGATTCCAGTCCCAGGACCACACTTTAATAACCACTGTCCAATACCTAAATGTGAGAGGCAGGATTTGTTTTTAGCAAGATCCACCTGATTTCAATGGGTTACCTGATTTGTGAACTGTGGAAATAAAGTCAGAGCAGTAAAAACAACTGGGCAGGAATTGGGTTGGCTAGAAAGAGGGATCACCTGGATAGTCGAAGTAAATTTTAATGGGTAATTATGGCTTTGAGACCCAGGTACAACCATTACCATCTGCCTTTCTCCAGTAACCCACCCCCAGTGCTCCAGAATACAATAATAATAAAAATTCAAATAGCAACCATGTATTGAACACTCATCATGGAGCTATACACTGTGCTAAGCTGAATCCTCTCAACAACAATTAGAGTTTAATACTATCGTCAACCCCATTTTGCAAATTAAAAAAAAAAAAACTTATTAGGGAAATTTAGTGGTTTTCCCAAGGTTCCAGCACTAGAAAGTAGTGCCTCTGGGATTTGAAACTTGGCCTTCTGACTCTACAGCCTCAGCTTTATCGCCCTTGTGTAGATGCCTCTGCTAATTCTGATTTCAAGCCAAACCATCAGAGAGAAAGTGATTGCTCTGTGTGCCATACTCCCGGGGAGCACACACAGTGCTTTCCTTATGTATGAAAACTGGGGTACTGTGCCCCTCTCTCTTTTTAAAACATTTTTTCCACATGCCATACAATTTCACTCATTTACGATGTAGATGTCAATGGTTTGTAGTCTGTTCACAGATATGTAACCATCACCATACCCAACTTAGAACATTTCCATCACCTCAAAAAGAAACCTTTATTCATTCATTTATTCAACAAATACTAAATATATGCCCAGTGAATATTTTTAAACAGTAAAATCGAAATGACTGTTGTTTCCTCGTCTTATGTGGAGCTTCCTTTCCAGGTGGGGGAGTCAGACCATAAAAATAATAAATTGGCCAAGTAGGTGGTATGTTAGGTCTAATGAGGGGTTAAAAGGAAAGGAATTTCAGAAAGGGGGAAAGAGGGGGTAGGATTTGGGGGAGGGAGGCCAAACATGCTTGGCAATTTAAATAAAGTAGGCGAGGAAGGAGTTATGAAGAAGGCGACTTCTGAGTTAGGAGGGAAGGACTCACTGGTGCAGACATATGGAGGAAGATTTTTCTAGGCAGAAGGTTTGACAGGCAAAGACTCTGGGCTGAGAATAGGCCTAGGTGTGGGAGGAACAGCAGGGTGGCTCTGTCTGAGGAGGATTATAGGCATCAGGTCAAGAGACAGGACTCCTGGGGTGGGAGACACATCTTCTAGGGCCTTCGGGGCTCTGGATGGCTCTTTGTTTCTCTGTGACTGAAAGGGGAGCTATTAGAAGGTTTTGAGCAGGGGACAGACATGATCTGATGGATCACTCTGGGCCTTATGCTGCCCCTTACATGGCCCAGGAAATGGCATTCCTTTAGCACAATGCAGGCCAACAGTGGCCCAGGAGGCTAAGAAGTCCTGGGGTCTCCAACAGATGACTTGAGTTGACTAAGTGGTGACTTAGAAGTCTGGACATCCCAGCCATAACCATCTGGCATTTCTCCAGGGCCCTAACTACTGGGTAAGACCATGTCTCCCAAGGAAAGCGGCTTAGCAATTCAGAAGAGGTGTAGCAAAATGCTAAGGAAACCCAGTACTCACAGGAGATTCCTGGAACAAGAATTCAGAGCATGGATAAAAACAGAAACCCTAGAGAAGGTCTCTGGGGAGGAAAGATTTGCGATGAGGAAAGAGGTGCAGAAATCGCAGGAAAGAGTTGCAAAATCTCGGCATCCCGGAACAATGCCTCAGCATGAAGCACCAGATGGAATCTGACGGATGGGGGTGTGGAAACCAGTTTAGTAGCTTTTCTCCTGGAAAAGGATGGGCGGGAACTGGGGAAGACCCATCTGAGCTTGTAGGTGGGAAAAATCCCACTCAAGTTGCTGGGGAGGCAGGAGAAATCCTACTGGAGGTGGCAACTCCGCCATATGCCCGTCAGTTCCTCCCTAAGGAGTGAGTGTACGTTGTAAAAGTTTAGAAGGGTTTTCAGAAAATCGTGCACACACATCCAAGCCAGCCTGGCCCTTTTAGGCCAAATTTAAGCAACTACTCAGAGAGTTTGCCCCTTCACCACGGTGACTGTGGACTTGAGTTTCAGATAAGGCCCCTACTCCTGTGGAACACACCTACCTGTACACAAGACATTGTTAGGAAGGCTAAGTCCCCAACACCTTTGATTCAGAACCACACAAAGTTTATTTTATGGCCATTTGGGAGATTTACAATTTATATACTATGTGCTTTTTGCTGTGACACATGTACCAGAGCTTCTCATCAGCTCCATTCGTAATAACCAGAAATTGTTCTGCCAGGAAACATTTTGACTGAAAGGCACCCAGAAGAGCTAGTTCTATCTGTGGTGGCAGTTCTGAACAATGAATGGGCTTCCCAGGCTGAATTAGACAAACAGAAGTGTAATTAAAAAACGAGTAAGCCCCAGGTTAAAAGGAGCATTTGGGTGATGAGGAAAATTAAGCGGAAGATATTTCATCTCCCTAAATTGCTTTGGGGATTAAATACCAACGTGCTTTGGTTCAGGATCATGCATTTCAAATGCCAGCATCTGTAGTTCACGGGTGCAGAGAGAACCCATGGCATCAATAAACTTCTTGCCCAGTGTTTATTGGAAACTTAATATTTGCACAACGTTCTGGCAGCAGAGATAAAAGTGAATAACCATGGTCACCACACACATTCAGGGAGGGTGTATAACAAACAGTTCTAATATTGTGTTAAATGAAATAATAAAGGCATTGGCAGGTTGATATGAAAGCACAGATGTGGGAACAATTTGCCTAACTATAAATTGATAAGTCTGAAATTCCTTTGGTTAAAATGGGAAATACAGCATGCTCCTAGAGCTTCATCAGCAAGCTGGGTGGGTATCTACTGGTGCAAAGTCACAGTTGCAGTGGAAATCGCTCCTATGGTTCCCTGCTTGTGCTTAGCATTGGAGGAAATGGATACTTCAGTTAGAGTGAAAATTCTCCCGCCCCATCCACTTCTTGCACCCCACAAAGTCTCTGTATAAGTAGCTTCAAGGTCTGTGGACCTAGTTAAGGATTCTTGTTTTAGGGAGACCCTCCAGAGTTAGCAGGAGGTCTGTTATAATGTGTTTATCTGATTTCGGCAACTGCCATGGGTTGATCCTGTGTTTTGTCTGTGCCATGAGGATTAATTTGTGGTCTTAGAAGTGACTTTGGTAAGTGATAGAAACCCTTAAGTATCCAGCTGAGGAG